TCACTCAATAATCACCGCAGTCAGTAACCTGACACCGCTATTTACACATCTGGCGGAAAGCATATATTCATAAGTCCAGAGTGTCACGCTCGAACCTCGGTGTTGGTAGTTACTCATTTTCTTCCTATATAACCTATTGTCACTCCCTTCTTATTGTCACTCCCCACTTAATATTTCTCCCTTCTTATTGTAATTCTCTTTTTATTATCTCTCCCCTCTCTGTCACTCCTCACTCCCATTATCAATCCCTTACTCATCATCCGCTTGGCTTACTATCTCCCCCTCTTATTATCACACCATATTTATAATCACAATCCTCTTATTATCACTCCCCACTTATTACCCCTCCCCTCGTTATTATCACTTCCAATTTATCATCTCTCCCCTCTTATTATTTCTCCCTTCTTGTTGTAACTCTTTTTTTTATTATATCTCCCCTTTTATCGTCACTCCCCATTTATTATGTCTGCCCTCTTTTTATCGCTCCCCACTTATTATCTTTTTCCATTCATCTCTCCTCATTTACTATCTGGATTAAGGGGATAATTAATTCCCCATAATTGGCCTGGTAATGAGGTAAACTGATTCAAACAGAAATTGATTTATTCTTTTCACAGGTCAAAAGTGGGTGTGCAAACAAATGCGATTCCACTTAATGTTGTCCTATTGGTCAGTCAAATATTTGTTGTACATCAAAATCAATGTTCGGAACACACTGCGCGAGCTTTCGTATCTGTCTCATCAATTCTTGGTTGTCGACAAATATTTTTTTGTTTCTTTAAGGGTTCGTCTCTTTAAGGCTTCGCCTTTTATTCTTAGTTCGTATGTCCCGGCGTCTCACGGTACACAGTCTGTTTTAATGAAGAGTCAAATTGAACAACATAAAAATCTCTTTTTGTTCAGTTTGGTTCAACCGTCTTCGTTCTTTTTTTAGATCTTGGCGCTAAACGCAAAAAAAAAAAAAATTCAAAACTTGGACAAGAATGTTAAACAAAGATAAGAGCGAGGGAAATTAAACGAACACAGGTTGAAGAACAAGGAACGAAAAGAATATTTATTCTTTTAAATAATAAAAAAAGGAGAAAAAAACTGGTTTAGAAATGACTTGGGAAAGAAAAAAAAGAAACGAAAGAGAAAATAAATAAATTGATCGTCTCGCCATGAGGCAATGTTTAGCACACTAACCTAAGCTAAAAAGGCTACCATTGTAACGAATTCGATCCACACTAAGTACCCCATACTTGCAGCCTTGGGCTATACTCAAGTGATATTAGTGTATACCAATATACGATCCATTGCTAAAAAAATCTGGAAAAAATGATCAGCTTATTCTACCACCCTAGAAGGTAATGGATGCCTTCTACAATGCTTTATTTTTACAGGACTCATATTAGACCATAATTGGAATATTACTACGATATCTGTATTGGAGCTACTCAATCTTCAGCTTTGATAGAATTCAAAGATTTTTAACGCGTCTTGCTGGGGCAAGACTTATTCTCCAGTCGACAGCCTATTTTTTTTAATGGTTTTACTCCTAGCAAGGCGATAATGCCTCTAAGACGTAGTGGGGTGGGTTAAAGGGACTAAAAGAGAATGCTTTACTTTTTCTTTTCTTTTTTAACCGATTCACCTCAAGCAAGGCGAGAAGCCATTAGGACGCAAGGGGTTACAGAAAAATTTAGAGCAAGATCAGATAGGAGTGATAGAAGAAAGGATGAGAAGGGTAGTGGATAAATCAAGGCAACTGGAGATGTCAATTGACATTACATTTGAATAGCAGGAGGTTATAGCTCTCAGGGAAACTGGAATAGGGAAGGGAGTTTCACAGGCGAGAGGTGCGAGACATGAAGCTATTGGAGTAGAAGAGACGGCTACATTTAGGAGTTTCGACAGTGAAGGGGTGAGAGCGGGATGCCATCCTCGTATGGTGCTTGAACTCATGAAGTCTGGGAACCAGCGAATGCAACTCCTCGGAGCAATTGCCATGATAGTATTTGTAGAACAGACAGAGAGATGCCAGAGTAGGGCCAATTATATTGCATATCCGCCTCTGGAGCCTATCAAGAACCCCGAGGCAAACAGAAGGGGCTCCAGACCATATATGGCAGCAATACTCCATAAATGAACAGGGTTAAGGAAGACAGAGGATAGCGATTGACATTGCATTTCAATTTTTAAAGATTGTAATTCTCTTTTTATTATCTCCCCTCTTATTATCACTCCCCACTCTTATTATCAATCTCATACTTATTATACCCCTCCACTTAATATATCACCCTCTTATTATCACACCATATTTATAATCAATATATTCTTATTATCACTCCCCATTTATCATCCCTCCCCTCGTCATTTCCAAGTGGTAAGGAAGCAAGAATTCGGAAGGGAGTACCATATGTGAGAAATAAGTGAAAAGAAACTGTTAAATTAGAAGCGACGTTTGCATCTAGCGAGTTCAAGAGTAAAATGGTGAGGCTTAGTTGCCAATCTAGTAGCAAGCTTAAATTCATGTAGTCGGAATATCAGGCAAATAAGGCTTATCAGCATAGTTGCTATGAAAATATTTGTAGAAAGGACAAAGGGAAGCCACGTCATGTAGGTTAGAAAGTAACTGAAGTCTAGATACCTGGATTGATTACGTTACAAACCCTTCTTGTCAACAATCGCGATATATACAGCAGGAACACCAGAACAGATATGGCAACAGTATTCAAAGTAAGAACAAATAGTAAAAATCAGGTTTCTATTTTTTTTTATTCACCCTCCATTAGTACAGTGGGGTGTTTGAACTCGCTACAAAATGATTTTCCTTAATACAAAGTGCGGCAGAAATACTGCCCAGAAATACCCCCCACATAATGGCAAGATATTAGCTAGATAAATACAGCAGATGGAAAATACAGTGTAACCCGGATATAAGAGAGTTGTCGGGACCGGAGAAGAAGTCTCTTATATCCGGATTTCTCTTATATCCGGGTTTGGTCTATTTTATATACATCAACACAGGCTCTAATTGGGGACCAGAGAAAATCTCTCTTATATCCGGGTTTCTCTTATATCCGAGTTACACTGTACGTGAAAAGAAACTGTTAGACTAGAAGCGGCGCTTTCAACAGTAAAATGGTGAGGCTTAGTTGTCAATCTAGTAACAAGCTTAAATTCATGTATTCGGAGCACCAGGCAAAAAAGGCTCATCAGCATAGTTGCCATAAAAAGGAAATTTGTAGGAAAGACAAAAGGAAGCCACGTGACGTCGGTGAGAAGTCGAGATGCCTATTTCAACAGTAATAGGATGGGACCCAGATGCCAATCTAGTATCACGCTTAAATTCATGCATTCGGGTCACCAGGCAAAAAAAAAAGGCTCGTCAGAATAGTTGCCATGAAAATATTTGTAGGAAAGACAAAGGGAAGCCGTGTTACGTCGGTGAGAAAGTCACTAAAGTCGAGATGCCAGGTCAGGATCGATTATATTGCAGATCCTTCTTTTTGTCTCGAACCTTTAGATGAATAGCAGTAGCACCAGACATATGGCAACAGCATTTATTGCACGGACGAATGATCGATTTGTAAATGTGCAAGATGGACTCCGATAAGAAAAACTTTCTCAATGGTGTCTTTATTTAGCTAATATCTTACCATTATGTGGGGGGGGGATTTCTGGGCAGTATTTCTGCCGCACTTTGTATTAAGGAAAATCATTTTGTAGCGAGTTCAAACACCCCACTGTACTAACGGAGGCCGAATAAAAACACATAGAAGCCTGATTCTTTTTATTTGTCAGTGCTTTGGATACTGTTGCCATATCTGGTCTCGTGTTCCTGCCATATATATTGAGATTGTTGGCAAGAACAATCTGTAAAGTAATCGATCCTGACCAGGCGTTTCAACTTCAGTCACTTTCTCACCGACGTGACAGGGTTTCTCTTTGTCTTTTCTACAAATATTTTCATGGCAACTATTCTGACGAGCTTTTTTTTTGCCTGGTACCCCGACCACGTGAATTTCAGCGTAATGCTAGATTGGCATCTGGGACCCACTCTTTTACTTTTAAAATAGTTAAATGTAACCGCCACTTCTACTCCAACAGCTTCTTTTCTCGCACTTCCCGCCTGTGGAACTCACTTCAGTTTGCTTGTTTCTCTGATAACTACACTCTTCAAAGATTTAACTGCAACGTCAATCGCCATCTTCTATCTTCTTGAATCCCATTCATTTTTTGTCCTTTTCTCAATCCTCCCTATACTTACTCTTTTTCTCACATTTTCAATCTCTGCGTACTGGCAGCATTCCCGACGTGCTTGGGGTGAAATGATTTTTTAAAAAATAAATAAGTATAAAGACCCGAATGAAGCTAAGAAAAAGAATTTGACCATTGTACATATTAATGCAAAAACTGAAGGCGATGAATTTTGATCCCTGAGTCGTTCCAGAAGGTTTTTCTCATCAGAGTCCATCTTGTACATTTACAAATCTATCATTCGTCCGTGCAATAAATGCTGTTGCCATATTTGGCCTGGTGCTTCAACAATTTAAACACAACATCAACGTCGTCTGTTTTCTTGAATCCTGTTAATCTTTTATCCTTTCCTCAGTCATTCTTTCCTCAGCCACCCCGCCTTATACCCAGGCTTTTTCTCTCACTTTCAATTTCTTTAACCACATGAATACTATTGAGGAAATGATTAAAAATAAATTATTAGTACCTTGGTTTTAACTGAGTCTGAACTACCTAGCCTTGGAATTGAACTAAAAAAATGCTATATTACTAAATTCACGAGCCAAAGTCTTAATTTCCTAGCTTACTAGTCTCCGTAATAATTTCGCTCTACTAAATAATAACACGACAAGTCATCACTCGGCATCAAAAGTACAATCCCTACAGATTAAAGAAAGACATGCCAATATTTTAACCTTCTTTAATCCACGGGGTTTAAATTCGTTTTGTTTCTCTTATTATCACTCCCCACTTTGTATAACCTTATTATCGCTTCCCAGTTATTCTCCCTCTCCATTTATCATCAATCTCTTATTATCACTCTCTGCCTATTACCACTCCCCTCTTATTTTCCCTCCCTACCTATAATCCATCCCTTATTATTTTCACTCTCTACATATTATCCCTCCCCTCTTATTTTCGCTCTCTGCCTGTTATCACCCCCCTCTTATTTTCACTCTCTGCCTATTATCACTCCCCTCTTATTTTCACTCTCTGCCTATTATCACTCCCCTCTTATTTTCCCTCCCTACCTATAATCCATCCCTTATTATTTTCACTCTCTACATATTATCCCTCCCCTCTTATATTCACTCTCTGCCTATTATCACTCCCCTCTTATTTTCTCTCCCTACCTATAATCCATCCCTCTTATTTTCTCTCTGCCCATTATCCTCCCCTCTTATTTTTCCTCCTACCTATTAATCCCCCTTATTATTTTCACTCTCTACATATTATCCCTCCCCTCTTATTTTCCCTCCCTGCCTATAATCCACCCCTTTATTATTTTTCACTCTCTACATATTATCCCTCCCCTCTTATTTTCGCTCTCTGCCTATTATCGCTCCCCTCTTATTTTTCCTCCCTACTTATTATCCATCCCTTCTTATTTTCACTCTCTACCTATTATCACTCCCCTTTTTTATCACTTCTCATATATCGTCACGCCCCACTTAATATCTCCCCTTTCTCATTATTCCCCCCCTCTTATTATCACTTCCCATTTATCGTCACTCTCCACTTAATATCTCTCCTTTCTTACCCTTTTATTATCTCTTATCATATCTCTCCTGTTATTATCACCCACCATTTATCATCACCACTTATTATCACGTCCCAACTATCATCTCCCCCTTATTATCACTCCCCTTTTATTATCACTGCCCCATTTTTCTCTCCCTTCTTATTATCACTCTCCATTTATCATCACCCTCTTATTAGCAATCCCTACCTATTATCCCTCCCCTCTTATTATCACTCCCCATTTATCATTACTCCCCATTTAATATCTCTCGGTTTTTATTATCTCTCCTCTCTTATTATCACTCCCCTCATCATCTCTGTCCTCTTAACCCTCGCCTTTTATTATTACTCTCTGTTTATCATCATCACTGATTATCCCTCCCCTCTTATTATCACTCCCCAGTTATTATCTTTCCCCTCTTATTAACCCTCCCCTCTTATTATCATTTCCATTTATCGTCCCTTCCAACTTAATACCACTTTTTATTATATCTCCCTTCTTATTGTAACTCCCCACTTATTATCTCTGTTCTCATACTATCCCTCCCCTCTTATAATTTCTAATTTTCCATCACTCCCCACTTAATATTGCTCCTTTATTATTACTCTCATTTTATCTTTCTTCTCTTATAGTCAGTTTTTTATTTCTTTTTATGTGCCATATCATTTCAGGACGTAGGCGATCATGGCCCTCCACCCCCTTCTATCCCTTGCAGCTCTCAATAAGTCCCTTCGTTCTGCTTCCTCCCTCAGACCACGTTCTGTCATCCACTTGCTTAAGTCCGCCAGGTATGTCTATCGTTGTTTTCCCTTGTCTCTCTTTCCCTTTATTCGGCCCGTGAGTATCAGATTCTCTAGGCCTTCTTTCCTCATTATGTGTCCCAGAAACTTTCTACTCTCTTATTATCACTCCTCTCTTATTATCTCTCCCCATTTAGCATCATTCTCCTTTTACTATAACTCCGAACTTATAGTCTCTCACGCTCAAATTACCACTGCCCTCTCGTTATCGCTCCCCTTAATTTGTGTCTTATAGAGTTTCTTATTTCCCACTAAAATGCTGATTTTCTAGCGGGGTTGCACCTTCCCACTTACAACATTGGCGAAACAAAATCTTTCTACCGTATTTCTTTTTTTGGTGTTGCCGTGTGTCAATGTAACCATATTAAATACCCAAAAAACATTTCGTTAAAAGAGTAATGGTTAACGAATTAGTTTGTCAGTCCTATCCTTACTAGGTTAGTTCAGTCTTCATTTGTAATACTGTGTTCACGTTAAGTACTTACATCACTTCGCAGTAGGATAATAGTTAAGAAACTTGTCTTGTATATTATTAGTATTTTTATCTTTATATTGGGCTTTACTAGATTGATTATAATCGGTAGACTTGTGCCAAGACTGCTCTTTATCCGGATAAACAGCAGTTTATTTTCTTTCTTTTTTTTTCATTTCAAATTTCTTCCTCTTTTTGCTATAATTTCTTTTCTTTTCGTTAAAAATTTATTCCATTTTTTCCTTCCGAAGTTCTATTTCTTTCTTTCCCGCCTTTTTTATACATTCTTTTTTTTTTTACAAAACCGCCATTTTATATTTCTTTATTTTTTCCTATTTTCTCCTTTCTTCTGCATGTTTTACATTCTTTTTTGTTCCTTTCGGCCATTTTGTTTTTATTTTTTTTTGTACCCGTTACCTGTTCTTTCCCTCCATTTTTGCTTTCATTTCTTTTTCTCGTTACCTGTCTTTTCCTTCCAATCGGGACGTGGAAGCCTGGGAACATTAAACAATGCTATACTCGTATTCTCTGTCAGTTAAACACCGGATCAACAAATCCTGTGGCTGGTCGTCTGTTCTCTTCATTTCTATTCCTACCTGTCCGCCTCTGCACTAATTCAAAACGAACTAATCTCATTCCAACAACCAGCAAGTAAGAAATATGGGTACACCATTCCCTACACCAGAAAACAGACGCGTCAGCGTTATTTAAAACTTGCATCAGAGTAAGTGAACATTCCATAATGGTTTCAAATAATTAACAAGGTTTCATGTTTTTCAGTGGAAGACATTTTCATTTATTTTTATAAAATAGATAAGGAATGCTACAAGACTGGTGAAACGAACAGTATTTTATACTTAAAAAATAGGTTTGCTAATGAATACAAGACGACTAACAAAGGTATATTATATATTATACGACCAGCTGAACAAGGGCTCAAAGATAAAACTATCAAAATAACTTTGCGGAATTTTAATTCACAATCTGAACGCATAAAATCCGTTAAAAGCTGATAACTCCACCGTAATTCTGGAAAAATAATTTTCTCTTATGTTACAAAAATAATTTCAAGAAATTCTTTGGATTTCAACAGTTGGAATTTAAACAAATTTGAAATGAGAGCAGGTAAGTAGATCAAACAATTTTTACTAGAAAGACCTTGTGAAAATTTCATAGTTTTTCTATTTGGATTTGCTGGTGAATCTTAATACTTCAGTTAATGGTTGAATAAGCTCATGGCGAGTTCACCGACTATAATATAACTACAGAAATTCCCCTATACCATCGTTAAATATTTGAACTTAAAAACTTTACAATAATCATAAATATGAATACAGTCTCTATTTAAAGAAGTAAGAGGGTACAAATCAAACGATTCAAAATTGATAAGGTTTTTCATTTCGCTGAAGCAGACGTGAACCTCATTGGAGTATTGTCGGCTGCCCTGTTTTTTTTCTTTTCCCTACATTTCCTTAAAACCAACAGCACCTTTGATATATCGTTTCTTTTGTTTTATGGGTAGGGGAAAGAAAGTTATTACAGGTCTATCCTCTCAATTAAATGGGAATGGTCTATTGTTTATATGATGTATTTTATATGAGTAACGTACGTGCTAGTTAATTAAACAACACGCAGAATTATAATATTTTCATACAGCGATTTTATGACCCGCTGTATCTAAAAGGTAGTAACCAAAAGTTCCAAAAGTCTGAAGAAGAATCAGGAAAAGGATATATTAGGTCCTTTTGCCACGACCTTTTATAAACTCATATGGTGGCTCATAAAAGGAATACTTCGACAGATACGGTGGTAACTAGATGTGAGGGTAAATCTTTTTCATGATTATTTTCTTCGAACAATTTTGTTAATACTTTGAGTTTTCCTTTTGTTTGTTTTTTTCCCATCTCTCTCTGTTTCATATATATATATATATATATATATGCGAATGTCAGTGTGTCACACTTTTTCAACTTTGCTCCTACAGGTCGTAGCTCAACAGATCATACCATTCTGGAATCAGGGCGTCTCCGTGAGCAAATTAAAAACATTTTGGATTCCCAATTTTTCATTACTGTGATTGTTTTTGGCGATACGATAACAATTTTTATAACTTGGAAATAAATTTGAGTGCAATCAAAATTAAATTGCGAAATCCAACGTAAGTCACCCATAAAATAAAAATAATTGTTTGTACGGGGAATAAGGACCTACGTACATCAAATTTAAATTAAGTAGCGGTAGAAGAATTATCGTTGAACTTTTAAAAGATAATCTTAAATATTAATGCAATACTTAAATGCAGCGAACAATTTTGAGTTCTTCTGTAGTTCATTGCATCTACTCCTCCCTACCTATTTTGATGAAGGCCTAATCAAGTGCCTTCCACAAGAGCTGGCTTATCTGCCGCCGACAGAGCGGCTTTTAATCTAGTATATATATATATATATATATATATATATATATATATATATATATATATGGGCTAACGATATATAGATTTTTATATATCAAAAACAATTTTGGGTGAAAGATGTATGACAAAATGTAAAACGTTTTCGTGTGAAAAGGACTTCATCGGACTAGCATCAACATAAACAAACGAAACGTGTCACATGAAACTTTTTCCACTTTGTCACCATATATATATATATATATATATATATATATATATATATATATATATATATATTACACACACAGTAAGGCAAAAGTCGCGTACCATAGGGGTTAATGGATGGTCAAAGAGATCCTGGGTGTGTTGTTTATCAGTCGCAGCCAAGAAATATTGAGAAACTTAAAGATAAGTGTTAAATATGAATGCAGTAAAATGGCAGACGAAACTCTCCGACCTGTTAATGATTCGTGAAGGCATAGAATTAAAATGTAATTTGAAAAAGAAGGAAGACATTTTGAACATATATAACAATTAAATAACTAGTAAATAAAATTTTAATGTATATTTATATTTCTAATACATTACTCCTATGATATGAGACATTTGCCTCACTCGATTATATATATATATATATATATATATATATATATATATATATATAAATCTCGGTGTAATATAAATTTGGCCAGCAACCTTTATTTCAGATATGTTTTGTTGAATATGACAGTGAAGGAAAATTTTCTATTGAGTTTTTAAAGGAGTGTAAAAATTGTCCGCTCTGTCTATTGTCTCAAGCGCTTTCAACCACTTTAGCCATTTCCCAGGTGTTGTGGTTAAGTGTTGTTAATTGCTTTTGATAGTTGTATATTTTAAAAATGTATGTTTGTGATATATAATATGTAAAAAGTATCGTTTATCTAGTAGTAGTAGCGTTTATTCGAATCCCCGCAAAAGGAACGTGGCTGGAATTTGAGGTGATGTCTTTCTATTTAAAAAAAAACTTTTAGCACATTATTTCTGTTGCTAAATAAGGTGAGATTAATACTGGTTGCCAGATATTTTATGTAGAGTGCTTCTCTCACAGTTAGATAAAGGTATGAATCCTCTTTTTCTCCCCCCCCACCTATGGGTAAATAGCAGGACAGAATGGGTTTTATATCCTTGGATGGCAACTGGTCTACCGAAAAAAGAAACAGCAACCTACTGCGGGAAAAAAAACCCTGCGTCGTCAGTCATGTATCGAAAGATACACGATCGCCTAAGCATGTATCACGCATGGCACATAACTGATATATATATATATATATATATATATATATATATATGTGGTATGCAATATTTATGGGTAAAAGTGTACAATATCAAGGATAATGTATGTAAATATAAATGTGGACACTGGGGTTATCATCGGGCGGCAACAGTCATGCTTGAATACCGCCTCCATGCTATATATATATATATATATATATATATAATGTGTGTGTGTTTATAAAGCTATGGGTAAATAGCTGGAATGGGTTCTATAGCCTTTGATGTCAATTGGTCTAGGAGAAGGACAACTCTGAATTCAAAACCTGCGGAGGGTTGTTTGGGGACCTTGTGGCACGTAGTCCACTAGGTCTCTGTATTCAGGCCTTCAAAAAGTGTGGTTGGTTCTGCACAAACCATCTGTGCTGGTGTCTGGGCTGTCGAATATGACGGGAGAGTCCACCATTTTGTGAATATTGTGCTGGTTATCTGCGTGTAGAATGGAATCGCCGGGCCGAGTAAGACTCCGATCGATACTTTTTTTTTTGTTCACCGTGATAATGCTTTTGGTAAAGTCATGAACCCATCTTCCACCAGATTTGCCCTAAATAGCAGTGCAGACTTGCCTTATTTGTAAACCAGTCTCGGTGAAGGAAAATTGAAAATATTAATAAACACACACAAAAAAAAAAAACAGCCTGACGAGGGATGGGGTTCGTCAGGGTATCATACCAAGGTACCTCACCGCTGCTACGACTGTAGGATATTTGGTACTCCGACTGCGTTACGAAATTGACGTGAAGGGACACACCTACGGAAATAAGCGTTTTATTTCTATTCTAGTTGAACCCGTAGAAATTCTACGGTTTACATTTTAAGGGGGATAAATTTTCAGCATTCATTAAATCCCCATACACTCTTTTTTTTTAATCATTGCGCCCTACGCAAGGCGGAAATGCCACTAGTACGCAGAGGGCTACAAGGAGTGAAAGTGAGAGAAAAGACTGAATACAAGAAGGATTGAGAAAAGGACAAAAGATGATTGGGTTTCAAGATGACAGAAGATGGCGATTGACGTTGCATTTAAATTTTTGAAGATAATTGCACAGGCTGCAAGAAAAGAAACTGTTAGTGTAGAATTTGCGATTGCATTTAATTATTTCAACAGTAAAAGGATGGGACCTAGAGGCCAATCTAGTAGCACGCTAAAATTCAGGGAAACACCAGGGAAAAAACCTCGTCAGAGCAGTTTCCATGAAAATATTCGTAGAAAAGACAGAAGGAAGCCACGCCACGTCGGTGCGAAAGTGAGTGAAGACGAAATGCATCGTCTACATTACGCACCTTTCTTTGGATCTTGTCATGAATCTCAAGATGTACAGCAGGCGCACCGGACCAGATATGGCAACAATATTCAATGCACGGACGAATGGTAGCATTATAAAAGTGCAAGAGAGTTTTTAGAGATAAAAATTGTCTAGCACGACACAGTGACCTAACATTCCTTGCAGTAGATGCAGCTATTAATTCGTTGTAGCCATTCCACTTCAAATCAGCTGAAAATGTGGCCAAGAAGGTGGAGTGTCTTGCTCTCCAGGAGTCTAGCGTCAGCTATGCTGAGAGGGCAGGCAGATAATTCACATGGGTTTTTTTGACATTTATTCAGTTAATCGAGTAAAGAGGGAAATACCACAGGTTTCGCTAATTTCTATTGGCAATGGTAATATTAGCCGTTTCGCTAGAACTGAAACCAATCATTTCATTCCGGCATATTTTAAACCACTAGACCATTTCACAGAACCAGACGTTAAACATGCGAAAGCCTTATGACTTACTCTCTTTTATTTCTTTAATTCTTTTTTTCTTTCTTTCTTTTTCCTTCATTCTTTTTCTTTCTTTCTTTTTCACTTCCCTTCAGTCTTTTTTCTTTTCTTTTCTTTCTTTCTTCAGTCTTTTTCCTTCTTTCTCTTACCTTCATTTCTTTCTTAACAGTTATATACAGCTTCAACGCACTCTACAATGAGGATTACTGTAATTTTTTAATCATTCCAATTCAAGCAAAGCAATAAAGCCACTAGGACGCAAATACATACTGACTGTTAAAGAATATGAGAATAACTACTACTAAGAGGGGAGGGCAGTAAAAGAATAATAAGACAGAAAATAATGATTGATATTGCATTTAAATTGCTGACTGGGACGCGACAAGTGCGATAGAAGAAACTTTTAGCATAGAACTTGCGGTTACATCTAACCATTTCAACAGTAAATTGAAAATTTGACTGTAAATTAAATTATATATATATATATATATATATATATATATATATATATATATATATAGTTAGAGCTATACTTCTCTGCTGTTATACCAAGAATTTGCGGTCAAAGGACATGCAAACTATAATGGAGTGTAACGTATGTACTGTGGAACAAGCTGACTGCATCTCTGTACTGTGTCCCCTCAGGACGTTGGCTATCATGGTTCTCTACAAGACCCTGTCCTTTCTAGCTCTTAACAATTACAGAATGCGATTGGTAAACTGTCGCCATTTGATATTTTTAATTTCGCGCATGCGCATTGCTTGTTTTGGATTTTGTTTGGAAGCGAGATGCTGTACTGCTTGGCCTTCGCACCGAAAGCTCCAATACGAACACTTCAAAGTGTTTGGGTGTCAATCTGAGAACAATGCAGAGGATTCGGAAAAAGTTGGATGAGTCTAATGGAGATTACGAAAGTTGGGTGGAGTGTTCAAGAGTGACGGCGACGTTATGTCTCCATTCATCTTACCACAGGTCCTCAGACTCAACACGGAGACCTACATCAAGTGCTTTGAGAAGGTAGTGCTGCCCTTGGTCAAAAGGGTGGCTGCTGGAAGACCCTATGTCTGGCAACAGTACTCTGCACCATGCCACACAAGCAAAACCCAGTCGTAGCTGTCAGACAATTTACATCTGGTCACTTAAGTTCCCAGACTGCAACCTCCTTTGATTATTATGTGTCAAACGCAGTTGAGCGAAAAACCAATAAAACTCATTGTTACATCAAAAATGAACTTAAGGCAAAGAGTATGACAGCATTCACCAATAGGGAGAACGCACAAAAGTGATGCTCGAAATTCCGAAGTCGTCTGCGGGCAGTGATTACAGCCAATGACGATTTTATTTAACAAATTTACTCTTTAGTATTTCAAGATATTTTTGTGTAATTTTGGTAAATATATCTGTTAAAAATGAGATGTCAGTGTTATTTTCATTTTTGCTTAATTTAGACGACAATTTATCCATCGCACCATGTATTCGTTTTTTTTTTTTTTTTTTCTTTTATCTTCCTCAAAAACTCTGTTCCGTCATCCATTTACTCAAGCTCGCTAGGTAGGTTGAGTTGTCTCCCTCTGCCTCGCTTGCCTACAATCTGCCCTGTGAGTATTAAGTTTTCCAAGCCTTCTTCCCTCATTATGCGCACTAGAAAATTGACACACGCAGGACCTATTGAAAGGAAAAGAGACAGAGAAAAACAAAGTCTTTCTGTAAATGGATGACAGAACAAGGATTAGGAGAGACAGCAAAATGATAAAATTCAATGAGCTACAAAGACAGGAAACTGTGGAGAATCATGATCGCCAATGCCCTAAAGGGATGTCGTAACCTAAAAAAGGTTAGTGAATGAGGAATAACCAAAATGGCGGTTGGAAATGAGATGGTAATCTTTATAACAAAATACAATACTCGCCAGCGGCGTCAAGTAGGTAAACCACTGCTAGTGGTGGACTAGATTTAAATTTGATGGTCAATCGTTATGTTCTGTTTTCTTAATTCCTGTTCTTTGTTGTTCTCTCTTCTTAATAATGTTTTATCAGATTCTTTCATTTTTTTTCTCTTGTGCCTTGAAGGCTTTATCGAATCGCTTGAGGTGAAGTGGTTAATAAAAACGAATCGTATTTTTGTTCTTGCCTTTGATGTAGAATAAATAAGAGTTTAATCTGTTTATGCTTCCATTTCGTACCGCTTATCGGTCCTTCGTCAACCAGCGATAATGAACTTTGAAACACGATCACGAGTGGCGTGTATTTCTCATGATGAAATAAAGACAATGACTCAACCATTGAAAGTACACAAAGTTCAAGTTCAGAAGTGTTTATCAAAAACACTAACCTGGCTTTTTTTTCGGATTTTCTCAGTCGATTTTACACTTGCAATCAGATTATCAGAAACCCCGTTCTTACTTCTACTACTACTACTACTACTACTAATAATAATAATAATAACACTGTTAATACTTATACTATTACCTATATATTATTCTTGTAACCTAGAAAGGGTTACAGAATGAGGAATAACCAAAACGGAGGTTGGAAATGAAATGGTAATCTTTATAATATCAACAAAATACAATACTCGCCAGCGGCGTGAAATAGGTAAACCACTGCTAGTGGTGGACTACTTAGACAGTATATTACCCTCCCCGCTTATAATAATGTCCAACGTATTTATTAGGATTGGGACATACCCATTAGTGTTCATAGGTACGGTATATAAAAAGGGACATGGTACATGGAGGAGGAGAAGGGAACAAGGCTAGCAAACCTACTTTGTTCTCTTACAAGCATTTTCTCTTTCTGATTTCAGTTTTACGAGAGTGTTGGTGTTGGCGACGACTATAAAAAATTAGTACCTGTGGGAAATAAACCCGAGAGAATTGAATGTGTGATGTTGAGAACTCCGAACCCCTCGTTCTGACTGATTTTAGTTTGTTTATACCAGTTTTATTGTGAGAAGATTTTCTTATAAAACTTGCCATAATATTGATAGATGGGTATGAACAGACGAGGAGAGAAAATAAAGGGAGGGAGATAAGCAGGGTGAAATAGATAGATGAAAGAGACTGAGAGGGAGATGATCGGACTGAGAGAGAGGGTGAAAGAGATAGAGATAAAAGAGAGATATAGATGAACAGACTGAGAGGGAGATGAGCAGACAGAGAGAGAGAGAGGGTGGAAGAGAGAGATGAAAGAGAGATATAGATGGATAGACTAAGAGAGAGGGTGGAAGAAGCAGAGATGAAAGAGAGATATAGATGGATAGACTGAGAGGGAGATGAGCAGACTGAGAGAGAGAGAGGGTGAAAGAGAGAGATGAAAGAGAGATATAGATAGATAGACTGAGAGAGAGAGAGAGAGTGGAAGAAGCAGAGATGAAAGAGAGATATAGATGGATAGACTGGGAGGGAGATAAGCAGACTGAGAGACAACGTGGGAGAGACAGAGATGAAAGAGAGAGGTTAACAGACTGAGAGGAAGATGAACAGACTGATAGAAAGAGTGAGAAAGAAATGAACAAAGAAGAGATGATGAAGCTGAATTAAAGTGTGAGAGAGATAGAGATGAAGAGATTCAGAGAAAGAAAAGATAGATGAACAAGCTGAGAGAGATGAACAGACATAGATAAACTAAGAGCGACAGAGATAAAACAGGGAGATAGATGAACAGGCAGAGAGAAAGAGAGAGTGGGAGGAGAGCAAACTGATCGGGTGACGAGCAGTTTGTGAGAAAGAGTGAGAGAAAAAGAGAGATGAAGAGGCTGAGAGAAGAGTGACAGAAATAGAGATGGAGAAACTGGGAGAGAGAGGACGAGACGAACAGGCTGAGAGAGAGAGATGAACAGATTGAGAGAGAGGGAGAGAGATGAAGAAGAACAGAGGGAGACGAGCAGACTGTGAGAAAGAGTGGAAGAGATAGAAATGATTAGAGAAAGAAAAAAATGGAGAGGCTGAGATGAACATACTGGGAAAGAGAGAGGGAGACGAACAGACTGAAAAAAAGAAAAGAAAGATGAACAGATAGAGAGAGAGAGAGAGAAAGAGAGAGAGAGAGAGGGGGGACGGAAATGAACAAACTGAGAGGGAGACGAGCAGACTGGGAGAAACCGTGAGAGAGATATAAATGATTAGAGAAAGAGAGAGATCAAAATGCCGGCAGATAGGCTGACAGGGATAGAGATAAACAAACTGGGAGAGAGAGGGGGATACGAACAGGCTGAGAGAGAGAGAGAGAGAGAGATGAACAGATTGAGAGATAAGGAGAGTGACAGCGATGAACAGACTTGAGAGGGAGACGACCAGACTGGGAAAACCGCGAGAGAGATAGAAATGAACGGAGAAAGAGAGACAAACAGACAGATGAAGAGGCTCGGAGAAAAAGAGAGATGAAGAGGCTGGGAGAAACTGTGAGCGATATAAATGAACGGACTGGGAAAAAGAAATAGACAGATGAATAGAGAAAGAGAGAGAGAGAGCGTGTGTGATGAACATTCTGAGAGCAAGAGAGATAGAGGGAAATAAGCCAAGTGAGAGAAAGAGAGAACGAGCAAGAGATGAATGAACTGAAGCAACCATTTTCAAGGACACTAAATCTGACATGGTAGATGCCAGCTTAAAATCCCCCAATTTATTTTACTAATCTAAATTTAAATCTTAAATCCTTTTTCGCGCATCACGGAATCTGTCATCTCATTTAAGTTAAATCTGCCTCAAATAATGGCGAAATGGTAGTAGAACAAAATGTTCTTTGTGTGGTCGCATATATCTGTGCGCAAATATCTAAACATTGTCTTTGAAAGTCACTGATAAACGCGACGAACTTTATAAACAATACGGTTTTTAATCATTTCATCCCAATCAAGGCAATAAATCGATTAAGTTGCATAGGGAAAAATATGAGAAAAATATAAATTAAGGAAAGAGGATAATAAAAGAACAGGGATTAAGTGTGCAAGGCAGTCTTTCGCTCCAGAATCAATCTTACATATCTATAATTTTATGATTCCTCCATGAATCGAATATTGCTGCCACATATTGTCCGATGCTCCTGCTATATATTTAGAGATTCTTGATAATACCCAAAGAAGAATCAGCAATATTATTGGTCCTGACTTGGCATCTCGGTTTCAGTCACTTATCCACCGCTGTAAGAAGACAGAAGATAACGATTGATATTACATTTAAATTTCCGATTATCAGAATTTACTAGAAAGCAAGAAGTCGGAAGAGAGTTCCATAAATGAGAAGTGCAAGAAAAGGAACTGTTAGCATAGAACTTAGCAAATTCAACTGTAAAATGATGAGACCTTGCCGCCAATCTAGTAATGCGTTGAAATTCATAAAGTCTATGTACCAAAGTAGAAAGCGATATTTATTTTGTTATGAAATTACAAAAATGTGAAACAAGGCCAAAATTAGGTAAATGGGAAAAAAAAGGATGGTCTTTTTCTATCTTACAATTAAACTTAGCTAGCCACAATCACTGACCCAAACATACCATGATATTCTTTACACTAAAACAACACATTTTTTATTACCATTCTTACAACATCCATCATAAGGCGTCAGAATCTCCATGAAGTCTTAACTAGTCCCCATATGTACAATTCTTGTCGTAATAAAACAACAATTCAAAATCTAAACCCCAATGTGTATTTAAAAATATGAAACAAAACTATTTACAAGTGGAAAGCTCATCAGTATAATTAGCATGAAGATATTGATAGAAAAAGTGCAGGGAAAAGACGTCACGGCGGGGAAAAATTGACTGAAGCCGAGATGCCAGATCAGGAACAATAAAATTGCTTATACTACTTTGTGTTTTATTTCTAACTGCATAGACAGGACAACAATATACTACGATTTTTGCCTCTAGTGTAAACCAGATATATGTTTTCCATTCCGCCTACTGTCATAAATCAGACCTATCTCTACCTTTTCTCCTCTATTATAAACCTCATCTGTGTCTTAGATTTTTGTCTTTAATTGAAATCTGACATGTATCTACCATTCTGCCACTATTATAAATTGAATATATTTCCACCTTTTGGATTCTAGTATCAACCAAACCTGTGTCTACTATTTTTAACTTGAATGTAAACCAGATCTGTATTTACCATTTTGCCTCTAGTATAAACCAGACCTGTGCCTACGAGTTTTGCCTCTAGTTTAAAACGGACATATGTCTAACATTCTGCCACAATCATAAGTCGGATCTATGTCTACCTTTTTTCCTCTAATATAAACCAGACCTGTGTCTACAACGTCGCATCTAGTTCAAGCAGGATATATGTTTACCATTCTGCCATTATCATGAAAAAAACCTGTCTTTCTTTTTGCCTCTAGTATAAACCAGACCTGTGTCTACGACTTTGCCTCTAGTATAAACCGGATATGTGTAGTTATTTGCCTCTAGTATGAACCAGACCTGTGTCAAAGATTTTGCTTCTAGTTGAAAACGAACATATGTCTACAATTTTGCCTCTCGTATAAACCAGATATTTATCTACCATTTTTGCCACCATCTTTTTTTTTACTCTACTTTCAACTGGATCTTTATCTTTCTAAGTATTGATTCGTTGTGATTTTTTTTATCACAATTAAGTCTTATATTCAATATTACCCAAACAAGAAATTACCAGATGTCTTTAAATTACCCACCCTTGATAACTAATTACGATTTATAGCAATCGCATTTGGGGACATGACATCGACATTAATCCGTTTGAATTATTCGTCATTAACCTTGAATTAATACCGGAAACCGAGAACTGTTTAAGCAGCCGTAAAGATTCAGTCTTTTCTTACGTCAGGCTGCGTTTTTCGTGCAATCGTGTCTTAAAGAAGTAAACGGATTCTCTTTTATTTTTATAAACAAAAAGGTTAGAAATCATATTGACATAATGGGCGTAAAATATTAACCAAAGATTTAAAACCAAAAATACAAAGGGAAAACAAAAATAAACAAAAATAACTCGGTGGATCGTACATAACCAATGTTTTTCTCTTCTTGAACAATTTCGCCAAACGATACGAATCAGTTGTATGCCTAAAGCGTTCACTCAATGTGTCCATAGTTCTTGGCGGTAAATTTGAGTAGCAGCCTTAATCTTGGCTTTTGTTGTGTTACAGCTTCATTTGGTTATCGGAAACGAACTGCGAAGAGTTTTTAGGTGACTTCGTTTACATTAATTTAGGCAGCCCGCTGATCAGAAGCCACAACAAGAAGACAGTCTCCAGCATTCCATCCAACGCCTTAGTCAATCAATTTACTTGACGTTTCTGCCACCGCTTCTGTCTGGGTTCAAATATGCGGAACAAAAAGAGATACGGCAAATACATCGTAACGCGACCCCAGAGCCCAACACACGGCTGTTATTTGTACCCAGCATTTGGAGAGCGGAAACAGCAAACGAGTATTATTCTTTTTCGTCTTCTGACAGGTTAGCAAAAAAAAAAAAAGATAAGGATATTCTTATATACAATTCTTTCATTTTCTGGTTTTGTTGTTGTTGTTTTTGTTGTTTTGGGGGGGTTTTATATATATATATATATATATATATATATATATATATATATATATATATATATATATATATATTATATATATATACATATATATATATATATATATATATATATATATATATATATATATATATATATTATATATATATATATATATATATATATATATATATATATATATATATATATATATATATATATATATATATATATATATATATATATATATATATATATATTATATATATATATATATATATATATATATATATATATATATATATATATATATATATATATTTATATATATATATATATATATATATATATATATATATATATATATATATATATATATATATATATATATATATATATATATATATATATATATATATATATATTTATATATATATATATATATATATATATATATATATATGTTCTAATTGAGCAATATACAAAAGAAAATTGCGAAAAAACATCCTGCCAGTACTAAACTCTTCAATGGGTAGAATCTATACACTTTTAGAATCAATTTCCGATACGGTTCTGTTTTGTTTTCCAATAAGCAATTTTTTTTTTAAAAAATGGTCTCATATTTGACTAAATCTTCAGCAACGACAATATTGATTTGTGTGTGTCTTAAGCAACTGAACAAAATAAAAATAATAACGCAACATTAAACAACGATGTTACTAAACATTATTTCATAAGTTATTCAAGAATTCTACTAATTTTACTAGTTTACTTACATTGAAATTTCTTTCGCATCTATTAATTAGACACAAACATGAAAAATTTAAGAAGCTTTTTTAACAATCACCAAACAATTCACGTACTGGACAAAATCCGAGCTTACATATAAATAAAAGCTCATCCTTAGCTAACAAGATATATAGTCTGTCCGTAGATGATTGTGTGTATATATATATATATATATATATAGATACACCTAGTGAGCCAGACAAACCTACCTAGGTTTCACCTAAACGGATCGTCAGGGAAAGTTTGGCTAGTTAGTTGTTACTCGTATCGGGGTTTTTTCTTTGGGCTTCAGACCTGCATCTGTGCGATTTTTTTGTCGGCAGAAGTCCATGTTTGTAGCTCTTTCTTTTTTTAAAACCTTTTTTTCCCTCGAGATTGATTTGATAAGCAAATCAAAAATTCATGGGTTTTTCGAAAGAGTCTAGTTTTTATATATATATATATATATATATATATATATATATATATATATATATATATATATATATATATATATATATATATATATATATATATATATATATATATATAGATAGAGTGCCATTCTCAGACAGACTGTTTTGTAGCTCATCAGTGTAGCTAAACATCCGATTGTCTCAAGCCGGGATCGAAAACCCCACTAACTTGGTATTAGTCGGAGATTTTACTCCTAAGCCATTGACTCACGGCAGTGATGAAGTGGAATTTAGATATTTTTATTTTTAGACAAAAACGCCAGTGACCGGAGAACTCGAGTCCTCTCTCTCTCTCGTTTTTTTGTTTGTTTTTTTTTATCAGCAACCCGTTTACGAACAACTGTATGAAATTTTTACTAAATCTTCAGTAATTCCACTATCAACGTCCGTGTGACTTAGGCAACTCAAAAAAACAAAACAAAAGAAAAAATAAAAACGCAAGGTTAAATAGAATTACTAAATAAGTCGTTTTATACTGTATTCAAGAGTTTTACCAATTGTACTAGTTAGTTAAGTCACGTTGAAATGTCTTTTTTTTTCTATTTAAATTTGATATATTTGGGTAGCAATTGCTCTTTTAAACTTGTATTGTTAAAATTAAATATTTTGTGTCTATTTTATATCATAACCTTCTTTTCTAATGTACGAATATCCTTTCGTAAATGTGGCCGTTGTGTGCCGATAAATTGACCAAAATCTATGTTTTGCACTTACTGTATCCAAGCATAAAACTTTTATGCAACACGAGCACAAATTCTTGCGCAAACATTGTGCAGAGTGCTCCTCAAAATCATTATTTGTTGAAAAAAAAAACTGTATTTTATG